CATGAATCAAAATCATTTTCAGTGGCACAGGTGTATACACTCTTTGTGTTCTCTGAAATTCTCACCTTCTGAATTCTTCATCAGTTGTACCATTCCTTTTCTAATATTATCTCCCCGATTACTGCTAATACCTCTATCACCTCTACTACTATGGGATTTGAGTTTCAAATTTACTGATCTCTTACACTCTGCAGTTATTTATTGAAGCGAGATGTTTGGGCACTGCTCAATTTTACTTAAGATTCTGGTTCTTATATCAGCATCTTCAGGAGATTGTAAGCTACACACAAACACAAGGCACTTAAACTGGTCTTCCGTCATTGATGATAGTTTGAATCGCTCGCATTCACGATATACTAAACCGGCGTGTTTTACCCAATCATCTTCACTTGACTTAGTTATTTTGAGGCATTGGTAACGAATATTAAGTAGAGATGACTGTTCAGAGAAGATTTGCGACAGCTTTTCAATTGTAGCATCAAAAGAGAAATCTATCGGGTTCTTTGGGAGGATGAAATTACTATAACGTTCGTGTTCGATTGTGCCGAGCTTTCTCAAGAGGATTCTGACTTTGGTGGCGTCATCAAGTTTGTTGAGGTCGACTTTGAACAAATCCTCATATTTCTTGAACCAAGACTCGAAAGTCACACCAGCTAGGCCATCAAAATGAAATTCATGAATGGAATGAACTATCGAGTCTGTATGCGGATTATATGAATCATCAGTAAAACCTCTGTGATTCAGATTCATTTGTTTCATTAACAACTCCAACATACGTTCCTGGAACTGTGCATATCGTTTTCTTTGACGTTCCAGTAAAGATTCTACCTGTCTAAGGGTAATTGACATTGTGGGTCTCACACTCCGTCACCACTTTTATGTTTTGTACTTGATGTAACGCCAAAAACCACTGTACTAATGACACACCGAACGTTAGACTCCCGCCGTTCAAAAATAAGAAGACGGAAGACGTTGGAGAACACTTATTAACAGAATCAAAAATATACAATAAAACATGCGTATTTATACAATTATATACATATATAATCGATATTGTCGTTTAAAAATATTTGAACATTAATCAAATAGTTCATCGATTGACTGCCAGTTCATCATTCCATAATGTGCGTGGCTGTCTTCTCGATTGCCTATCCCAACACATAGTCAACAAATCTTTTAAATTTACTGAGAATTTTTCACATCAACCAAGTTTTATCGAAGTTATTATATTGAAACATATACATGCTTCGTTGGAACATTGAATTAAGCAAAACTTGACAGATTTACAAAAGTCCATTAATAATTTAATTAAACCTATTTTACATTTATTTACATTTAGAATTGATAGTTTTTGCCTCCTTTTCTTCTTGTTCTTCATCTTCTATGAAATAAGTTTGATTTTTATCTTAAGAAGAAGAAGATCTGATTTAATGTATTTTGGAAAAAATTAATTTAGAACATCAACATACACTATTAGTCGAAATATAAAAATTAATTGTTTGACGAATTCTTAAGAGATAAGGCGATAAATACTTTTTCAATAACAGTTAATTAAGTCGTGGATGCGCACTGCTGAGGAGTCCCATACCAGGACGAAACGGCCGTCTCTCAGTGCTTCCAGGTTCCTAATGGTGGTCTAACATTGGTCGATTTATGGTTACAAATAACACTCAAATAAGTCACGTGATATACAGATATTCTCATTGTAATAAGACTGAGAAAAACTGATCATAATCTTGAGTAATCAATATACTTGTGTTATAAAATATATTTTTGATTCATGCATACCTTTTAGTCATTAGCTTCAATGTGGTTTCCAAATCATATGGTTAACTCAATAACTACTGGAGCCCCTATGCTTGCATTGTCGTTACACGTTACCTACTATGATTGTAGTGAAGGAGAACACAGGTGAGGGCAACCGAATTGTATTTAACGAAAATTACAGAGTTACTCAGTGAAATCGGAAAACCATATCGTAAACGGTTAATTTGCAAATCTTCAATCCATCATCAATCCATTGTCTGACATTTCACTATTCATTCATGCGTTTCATACAAATTATATTGTGTTCCCACTCTTCCTTTCTTGATCTTCCCCACCATCTTCTGCTGCCAGACATTACGTTTTCACTCGCGTCATATACTACTTATAAGTAGCGCGCATCACAGGACTACTAGACTTATTCTGGACAATCATGTTCATTTTTTATATAAATTATTCTATATGTATGATTGTTATGCATTTCATGCAAAACGACTTGGTTATTGTTACTTGAACAGTTGTTCTATCTCTTGATACCGCCTCGACGAGCTATGTTTTGTTGTGCAGGAGTAAGTTTGAAGAAAGCTAGGGGCGGTCAAACCAAAACATGGCAGAAATCCATGAAGTCACTGACAAGTGCACTGAGTCATGTTGATAGATGTAAGCTACGTGGTTGGGGTCTGCGAGACGATAGTCACCAATGGTTAGAGACCTTAAACGAGATGGCTCAAAATCGTTTGCAATGGCGCACGTGCATCCATTCGTTGAGCTCTCTCAAATCCTAATCATCTGAATTCGTCAGCACCTCTACCCTTTGTCTTTCTAACCTTATCTCACTGAATTATACTTCTTGAATAATATCTTCAAACCCTAGTCTTCTTCATTACCATTAATACCTCTACTATCTTTATCACTATGGGATTTGATTTGACATTTGCGTCTCTGTGCTGTGGTATGGCAACCTGAACTTATGTACATAGGTACGAAGTTCTACGTTGCAAGTGACTGACTGACTGACTGACTTTCTTGATACCTTGATAATAATCAAATTTTTATAACCAATGATAAATCAATTACATTAGTCATGAAGATAACAGGAATTCATTGAATCAAAAATGTTTTGCTCCATGATAATATGTCATGAGTGAAAGCAGTCAGTAAAGGTTGTTTTTTCCCCCTTTTTGATTGCCCAAACATAGCTGCTACCTCGACGTGGTGGTTGGGCTTGCCTATCGTGATGATCCAACCGAGCTATATTGGCTCAAACATATGTTTCTGCAGGTTCTACCATGCCAGGCAGGTCGACTGGAGAACGATGAGACTAAAAGCAGCTACCCAAGGTGTGAGGGCGAAGTCGTACTGCTGACTGCACAGGGGTGTGACAGCAGTAAGGACAACAAGCAGCATCTGCAGCGATGCTGCCTTCTCACAAAGAAGGAGGGGTTAGAAAATGTCGACCCTAAAACTGTCATACCTCACCCTACCTCACGGATTTCCGTCTCCGACAGTAAGGTGTTGGGGATGTTAGATCCCCAAAACTCGCTTGATAAATATCTTTATTTTGGCCACTGTAAACAGTTTTCCGGGTTCAGGCAGTCGCAGCGTCATCTGACGATCGTCTAGCATGTTTTTGATTCGGTCGAACGTTTGTTCGGCAGCCTCAGTCCATGTAAACTTGGTGTTGCTCAGTAACTTATATAAGGGCGCTGCTATTTTGTTGAAATTCTTGACAAACCTACTATAGAACGCCGCTCTTCCTTTTCGAATTAGGTACTGGAATATTTTTTATGGTAAGAATTTTCTCCGGTAATGGCTTTATTGAAATTTGTACTTTCTAGCTCCACTGAACCTTGGAAACTATCTTTAACAAATCACCAATGATGGCTTTTAACTACTGAGTCGTTCTAAGTCTTGAATTTACATACTTCTATGTTATTTGTGACAAAGATTAACCAGTTACACATAATACCAGGATTAACATACACTTAAGATCAATTCCTTAGACAGTGATTATACTCCAGAATCTGGTTGTTTCATCCATTGTGCACAGTTGCGGGATAGGATAAAAACAACAAGAGTTATGTGGACTTTCTCTGACATCACATAAGAAAATGAGATTTACTATGGTGAAATTAATATTAGTGGTTACATGATTTATGGGTATTTTTCGGATTACTGGAACTATTTCAATAAAGATTCAATATTTTTTAGAATAATCAAAAATCTCAAATGACCTAACTGAAGACTTTTCTATTTTGCTAGTGAACGGACATCAATCACACAACCAGTTACCAGATTACTTACTAAACAGCAATAACTTTCTGCACATTAAAATCATCAATCAATCATTGTTAGATGACCATTGAAAACCTGATAGCACTGGATGGTCATTTCGTCCTGGTATGGGACTCATCAACAGTGCGCATCTACGACTCCTGTACCTCACAGGATTTGAACCCAGGACCTTCGGTCTTGCGCGTGAACGCCTAACCTTGTTAGGTTCGTCACTAGGTACGCTTGAAGCTATTACGAGTTCACCTTAGTCGATAAACGAGAACGAGACAATAAACCAGAGTCCAGGTAGGCTACTCTGATCCGAAAACGGCTAAAGAGAAGTCTTGCTAAGCGTAGATAGTATGTTCTACAAAACACCCAGCAAGCACAATACAATCAAGCACACAACTCTCGTTTATTTATACATCATAGAAAATCCCTTTGAACAGTCACAAAAATATCACACTAAAATACACAGCAGCCAATCACAGCCATGGATTTTCGTGTTGGGAAATGAAATCTCAAGGTCAAATTATCAGCCCATGCTCGCAACCATGAAATCCAAAATAAGGTATTTATCAAGCAAATTCTGGGGATCTAATATCCCCAACAAACCTCTGGACCACTTGGCCAGTTGTAATAATCCATGCTACTTAAATGTACTAAAAATCCCTATTTGTATTGGGAAATAGCGTTGCATAACTAAAGTTGTATCTAAACAATATTACGCTTGATAGGAATTGTGAATATTGATATTTCGAGGGTTTTGATAAAAACACTCCATACAAATGATTTGTGAGCTGACATGTTAACAAACTGTCTTTATCATAAACATTAGAAATATACATTATACGATTTACAGAGGAATAAATGTCTATTGTTAAAATTCCGCTTAATTCCAGCTTCATTAGTAAGTAGTAATGCTGTTGCTTTTTTGAAAAAAAAATTCTTTTATCATTCAGCAGACAACACGACATCGTCAAGAAAAAAAAATCAACAGACACCATTTAAACTGAACTAGTTCATCTCTCTATTTAGATAAAAATATGCATACATCCAATCAGTATTTATTGATTGAACAAAATTTTCAAAGAAGTCAATTCATTTACAAATGGAAATTGTTGGGATTTATTCAGTTGATTTACGCGGTGTCATGTTATTTATCAAATTCTATGGCAATGCAACAATATCCTTCACCAGCAGTCTCTTCTGAGTCAGGACGTAAGTCGAATCATACATAATGATCATTCTGTTTATTGAATTAAAATAAACTATTGTATTTTTTGGTTTACTTTTATTCACAGGTCCTAAGTAATAAGTATGTATCATTAAGGCCAATGTAAATCAATTGACAACTCCGCCAGTAGAACCTTCGGGGCTACTGCCGGTCTCAAACCCGGGTAAAGGAGGAGGGTTGGACATGGGGTTGGCGACCCCATTCCGTCAAAAACTAACTTGCCAAAAAAACGCTAACCAGAAAAAATAATTCAAACCATTTTAACTCTGCCCTGGGAGTTGGAGGAAGAATTATGACGTCGCGTGATGAAAGCCGAGTTCCCTCAGAAGTCACGGGGCCGATGCCTCTTCTGACAACTAGAGCAACCATTTTTTTAGGTACATTCAACGTTGGTACATTGTGGGAGACTGGAAGACTATTTCAAGTTGCGGCAGAAATGAAACGATACAACCTCGTGGTGCTCGGCATCAGTGAAACGCATTGGACACAGGTAGGACAACTGAGACTAGCTTCAGGGGAACTGCTGTTATACTCTGGTCATGAAGAGGAAAACGCTTCACATAGACAAGGAGTTGCACTGATGCTGTCCAAACATGCACAAAACGCACTGATAGGATGGGAATCTCATGGACCCAGGATCATTGAAGCATCCTTCAAAACAAAGAAACAGGACATTACAATGAACGTCATCCAATGTTATGCACCTACCAATGACTACAATGACGACGTTAAAAATCAATTCTACGAAAGGCTGCAGTCAATCGTCGAGAAATGTTCACCAAAGGATTTGACGATTCTTATGGGAGACCTAAATGCCAAGGTTGGCATGGACAACACTGGATATGAAGACATTATGGGACGACATGGACTGGGAGAAAGAAACGAAAATGGTGGGAGATTTGCAAACCTATGTGCCTTCAACAAACTGGTCATCAGTGGCACAATATTCCCGCACAAACGCATACACAAAGCTACATGGATTTCACCGGATCACACTACTCAAAACCAGATTGATCATATCTGTATCAACAAAACGTTCAGAAGGACTATGGAGGATGTGAGAACCATGAGAGGAGCTGATGTAGCCTCAGATCACCATTTGCTAATCGCCAAAATGAAACTGAAACTAAAGAAGCACTGGACAACGGGGCAGACAACATCGCACAAATTTAATACGGCCTTTCTTCGGGATACTGTAAAACTCAACGAATTCAGGATAGCCCTCACCAATAGGTTTCAGGCCTTGCACGATATACTCAATGAAGAGGACGCAACGTTGGAGAACAATTGGAAAAGGATTAAAGAGGCAATCACTTCAAAATGTCACGAAGTTTTTGGGTCACAAGAAGTACCATCACAAGGAATGGATCTCTGTTGATACTCTTGAAAAAGTTGAAGAAAGGAGGAACAAGAAGGCAGCAGTGAATGTCAGCCGAACAAGAGCAGAGAAAGTTAAAGCACAAGCTGCATACACAGAAGCAAACAGGAAAGTGAAGAAGAGCATCAGAGCTGACAAACGAAAATATGTGGAAGATCTAGCAATGACGGCGGAAAAGGCTGCAAGAGAAGGAAACATGAGACAATTGTACGAAACTACAAAGAAGCTCGCCGGAAACTATCGTAAACCAGAACGACCAGTGAAAAGCAAGGAAGGCAAAGTAATCAGCAACACTGAACAACAGCGAAATAGGTGGGTAGAGCACTTTGAGGAACTCTTGAATCGACCAGCTCCACTGAAACCACCAAACATCGAACCAGCATCCAAGGACCTCCCAATAAATATTGGTGCACCTACGATTGAGAAGATCAGTATGGCCATCAGATAAATCAAGAGTGGCAAAGCAACAGGACCAGACAACATTCCAGCAGAGGCAATGAAAGCAGATGTAGAAGCAACTGCGAAAATATTTCACATCCTCTTCAAGAAGATTTGGGATGAGGAACAAGTACCATCAGATTGGAAAGAAGGATACCTGATAAAAATACTAAAGAAAGGCGATCTCAGCAAGTGTGAGAACTAACTACAGAGGCATCACTCTTCTTTCAATACCAGGCAAAGTCTTCAACAGGGTATTGTTAAACAGAATGAAGGACTTCGTAGACGTCCAACTTCGAGATCAACAGGCCGGATTTCGTAAGGATCGATCGTGTACTGACCAAATTGCTACATTACGGATCATTGTGGAACAATCAATTGAATGGAATTCACCACTCTACATCAACTTCATCGACTACGAGAAGGCATTCGATAGCGTGGATAGGAAAACACTGTGGACTCTTCTTCGACACTACGGTGTGGCTGAGAAAATAGTCAACATCATACGGAATTCTTATGATGGATTCAAATGCAAAATCGTACACGAAGGACAGCCAACAGACTCCTTTGAGGTGAAGACCGGTGTCAGTCAAGGTTGCTTACTCTCACCCTTTCTCTTTCTCCTGGTCATCGACTGTATTATGAAAACGTCGACGTCTGGAGGGAAGCACCGTATCAACTGGACAGTTAGGATTCAGCTGGACGATCTGGACTTCACAGATGACTTGGCTCTTCTATCGCACACTCAACAACAAATGCAAGAGAAGACGACCAGTGTAGCAGGAGCCTCTGCAGCTGTAGGTCTCAACATACATAAAGGAAAAAGCGAAATTCTCCGATGCAACACAACATGCACCAACCAAATCACGCTTGATGGAGATGCCTTGGAGGACGTCAACACTTTTATATATCTGGGCAGCGTCATCGACGAGAAAGGTGGATCCGATGCAGATGTGAGGGCACGGATAGGCAAAGCAAGGTCTGCATTTTTACAGTTGAAAAATATCTGGAACTCCAAACAACTTTCAACCAAAACCAAAATCAGCATTTTCAGTACTGTCAAATGTCAAGACAGTTCTACTGTATGGAGCGGAAACATGGAGAACTACCACAGCCATCATCCAGAGGATACAAGTGTTTATTAACAACTGTCTACGCAAAATACTTCATATTCGTTGGCCAGACACGATCAGCAACAACGAACTGTGGGAGAGAACAAACCAGATTCCAGTGGATGAGGAAATCAGGAAGAAGCGGTGGAAGTGGATAGGACACACACTACGAAAAGCACCTAACTGCATCACGATGTAAGCCCTCACATGGAACCCTGAAGGCAAAAGGAAAAGAGGAAGGCCAAGGAACACACTACGCCGAGAAATAGAGAAAGATATGAGAGGAATGAACGAACATTCGACAGAACTGGAAAGGGAAGCATAAGACAGATAGAGTCGGTTGGAGAAAACTGGTGGGTGTCCTGTGCTCCATTGGGGTTAACAGGCATAAGTAAGTAAGTAAGTAAATCAATTGACTGCTCGTTCATTGGTTAACAAGGATTCACAATAATTAATGGAAGTGATAATCGAGGATAAGATTGATAATCGGTTGGGTAGGTTAAATCCCCGGAACTCACTTGGAAAGCGAGCTAATTTTGGATTTCTTGTGTTTTCGCGCATAAACTGCTCAGTTGACCTTGAGATTACATTTCCAACCTGGAAAAGTCTTGACTCTCATTGGTTGATCTTTTATTTTAGTAGGCTATTTTTGTGGCTCTCCCAAGGACGGTTCTACTGTAGTGAAGGAGAACACAGGTGAGGGCAACCGAATTGTATTTAACGAAAATTACAGAGTTACTCATTAAAATTGGAAAACCATATCGTAACCGTTAATTTGCAAATCTTCAATCCATCATCAATCCATTGTCTGACATTTATTTCACTATTCGTGCGTTTCATACGAATTCCATTGTGTTCCCACTCTTCCTTTCTTGATGTTCCCCCCTCTTCTGCTGCCAGACATTACGTTTACACTCGCGTCATATACTACTTATAAGTAGCGCGCACCACACTACCATGTATAAATAAACTCGGTTTGTGTGCTTTTCAACCGCATATTTTCTTGGTGCTTGTAGAATACACTTTCTACGGCTTATCAAGACTTCTTGATATAGTTAACCGGGCCGCGGACAACTGATTACAGTAGCCTATCGTGTCACTGGATCATTTGTCTTGGTTCTCGTTTACCGACTAATGTGAACTCGTAATAGTTTCAAGCATATCAATTGACGATCATATCATGATCTGGTAAATTTAATGACAAGCACTCAATCAGTCAACATATATTAGAGGCTCATTTAATATTCTGTTTCTGATAGACAGCCAAGTTCCCATCTTGTTACGCTCGTCACTAAGTATGCTTGCAGCTATTACGAGTTCAACTTACTCGATAAACGTGAACGAGACAATGAACCAGAGTCCAGGTAGGCTACCTTGAATCCCCAAAATAGAGTAAGAAGGCTTTGTAAGCGTAGAAAGTATATTCTACAAACAACCAGCAATCACACAATACAATCAAGCATACAACTCTTGTTTATTTATACATCACAGAAACGTCCTTGAGAGAGTTAAGAAAATAGCACACTATAATACACAGCAGCCAATCACAGCCATGGATTTTCCTGGTGAAAATTGAAATCTCAAAGTCAACTGATCAGCTCATGCTCGCAAACGTGAAAACCGAAATAAGGCATTTATTAAGCAAATTTCGGGGATCTAACATCCCCAACATGTCTCTCAACACATGATAAGATTGGTTTATGAGTATGTGCTTCGATTAAAAATCTTTATAAGAGAGCTTGATAAACGGACATATAGAAGGCGAATGAATTCAGCTTATTCATCGTTTTTTTATGAATATTACAGTCGGATGTTTAAAAAATTGGAGCATTATTTTCGATTGTGGATGATGTTTACTACGAAGCTATAACAATAAGAAGCATCAACATATTTGTTAAGTCTAATGAAATATCAATTGGGAAATAATATAATTTGTCTAATCATTTTATTCTACTTAATTATTATCAAGTAGTTTGTTGTTTTCTATAAAAACGTTTAGGACATTTACTGATGATACTTATAATAGTCCACATGTAGTGAAGGAGAACACAGGTGAGGGCAACCGAATTGTATTTGTCAGAAAATTACAGAGTTAATCAGTAAAATAGGAAAACCATATCGTAACCGTTAATTTACAAATCTTCATTCCATCATCAATCCATTGTGTGACATTTCACTATTCATTGATGCATTTCATACAAATTCCATTGTGTTCCCACTCTTCTTCCTTTCTTGATCTTCCCCCATCTTCCGCTGCCAGACATTACGTTTTTACTCGTGTCATATACTACTTATAAGCAGCGCGCACCACACTACCATGTATAAATAAACTCGGTTTGTGTGCTTTTCAACCGCATATTTTCTGGGTGCCTGTAGAACACACTTTCTACGCCTTATCAAGACTTCTTGATATAGTTAGCCGGGCCGCGCACAACGGATTGCAGTAGCCTATCGTGTCACTGGATCATTTGTCGGATGGAGCATTATTCTCGATTGTGAATGATGTTTACTACGAAGTTATAACAATAAGAAGCATCAACATATTTGTTATTGAATTTTTCTAAATTGTACACAATATCCGAAACGTTCACAAGTGAATTAGTTAAGAAAATTCTTTTTCTCTTTCAGTTATCTCCTTTTTACCATAGACTCTCAGCAGTGTTAAATATTATCTTTCTTGATTCTAGTGAGATAAGACGATGATACCAGTCAACAAACTAACCTCTACTTTCAGAAGTTGTTTATAAATTATTTACGTTGCAGGGGTTGTGAAGATTGTTAAGTTACACATTTTTGAAACCATGAGTCGATCAGTGTTAGACCACCACCAGAAACCTGGAAGCACTGGACAGCCGTTTCGTCCTGGTATGGGACTACTCATCAGTGGCAGTGCGCATCCACGACTCCTGAACCCCGCAGAATTCGAACCCAAGACCTTCGGTATAGTGCGCGAACGCCCTAACCGTTGGGCCACTGAGTCGGTATCTAATGGTGTTAATGTCTAACTTGATCAAATTCACGGAGTTGCGGAACCTCATACACAGTCTTCGGTAGCAGTTACTGTCTACACCCGAACAGGTTGAACTTCAATGGTCACGACTTCCCACTAGAACTCGGAGAAGATTCCTCACGAAGCTAGTCACTAGTGAGCACATTTAGTTCTTCTGTAACCAAACACTTACGCTTTCCTCTCATTTTTATACTATTCAGATTGCAACAATAACAGATTTATGTTACTGATTTGCTTATACAAGCCATTCATCTTCTGTTACATCAAACTTTAGTTATTTACCAACTTTCAAGTGTTGACACATTCATGTTTAAGTCTACGTTTAAGTCTAATGAAATATCAATTGGGAAATAATATAATTTCTCTAATCATTTTATTCTACTTACTTATTATTAAGTAGTTTGTTTTTTCTATAAAAACGTTTGGGACATTTACTGATAATACTTGGGTAGCATCATCGACGAGAAAGGTGGATCCGATGCAGATGTGAGGGCACGGATTGGCAAAGCAAGGGCTGCATTTCTACAATTGAAAAATATCTGCAAGTCCAAACAAATTTCAACCAAAACCGAAATCAGGATTTTCAATACAAATGTAAAGACAGTTCTACTGTATGGAGCGGAAACTTGGAGAACTACGAAGGCCATCATCCAGAAGATGCAAGTGTTTATTAACAGTTGTCTTTGAAAAATACTTCGGATTCGTTGGCCAGACACCATCAGCAACAATATACTGTGGGAGAAAACAAACCAGATTGCAGTGGAGGAGGAAATCAGAAATAAGCGGTGGAAGTGGATAGGACATACATTATGAAAAGCACTTAACTGCGTCACAAGACAAGCCCTCACATGGAACCCTCAAGGTAAAAAGAAAAGAGGAAGGCCAAGGAATACATTACGCCGAGAAATAGAGAAAGATATGAGAGGAATGAACAAACATTGGACAGAACTTGAGAGGGATGCCCAAGACAGAGTTGGTTGTAGAAAACTGGTTTGCGTCCTATGCTCCATTCTGGGGGGTAACAGTCGTAAGTAAGTAAGTACTGATAATACTTATAATAGTACACGTCCAATGAAAATGAATAATATGATAGGTTTCAAATGTAATTAGTGTAATCCAGTGTGATTCGCCGAAATTGGGTACTTTTTTCCCAACCTTCTCATACACTGATCTCTTTGATTGAGTGCATTAATTTGATACGCATTATAAACAAACTTCTTGTCATATGATGAAAACTGTTCATGTTGACTTATTTTTTCATAAATTTTCATACTACAGCTGAGAATTATGTTGACCTATTAGAACCAATCGATGTTGTACAGAATAATCTTCACTTAAATCCATTCACGACTACATATGCGCTGGATTGTAATCAATGGGAAAATTGGAATTCACAATCGTCCAATTCTTCTTCTGATCAACAACTACAAATGGACTCCATTAATCAACTGGATGTCAATTCATCCTATACACAATTATTACCAATGAGTTTCTTAATTGAAATGATACCACATCGAAGATTATATCCTGGACGATCATTTTTTTTCAGTCGTATTGATAGTTTAAATCGTATACGTCTAGCTATTGGATTAAATCAATGGGGTAAATTTGGTGAATGTATGGAATTATGGATACATCATGAATTATTTTATAGTTTAGAACCAGATCCGAAAATTTCTTCATATTATATTGGATCAGGTTTAGTAAATCATGCTGGTCTTGTGGTAGTCCCACTGCCGAATTATCAATTCAATACTAACAAAATGATGACATTAATCATTGAAGTATGTTGATATTTATGTATGTAGTAACGTATTGTGGCTTTGATAAAATGTTTTTTTTTCAAATTTTTAAGTTGTACAATTAATGTAAGTGATGGTTGTTAAGATATTCATCCAATATCCTAAGAGAATTATTGGTCAACTCCTAATGGTTAATTTCTATTGGTCAGTTTTATGGTCGTCCTAGATATCAAGGTCACATACTTCAATGTTGTTTCTTATTGGTTGTCCTGATTATCAATGTCATTTCAAATCTTGCTTCCTATTGGTCGCCTTAACTGTAAATGTCATAGACTTCGATGCTGTTTCCTATTCGACCTAAATGTATAAATATGCATTATCTGTAACGTTTTATGAACCCTGACTCGGATCCCAAGTCCAGGATCCTGATTCTCTTCTGGACTCGGACCTCGTACTTTCTGGATGCTTCTAGAATACATGTTCTACTCTTCATATCAAGTCTTCTTCTTTATTCAATGAGGGTAGGGACACTCGGATTAGAGTAGCATGTTGTGTCGCCGGATCCTCGATCCTTGCTCTTGTTTTCCGATTAATGTAAACTCGTAATAGCTCAAGCATCTTAAATGACATGTTTACGTGCATGCGTAACAATAATGCTTATTACTAACATTTTATTGACTAGCAACAATATTTCCCCATCCATGTATAAATGTTTAACGAATACATAAAAAGGAATAACCCTAGAAATTCCATTTTTTTCAAAAAATTATTCTCTTACATCCATTTAGAATTATCCATTGTAGCTGTATCACTGTTTGAAAAAAAATATTCTGCAACAATATATCTTGATTTTTCTTGTTATGAACGCACGTCACCACGTTACTTGATACGCTTTAACTATTACGTATGCACCTTAGTCGGTAAAATAAGAGCGAGGATCAATGATCCAACGACACGACAGGCTACTCTGATCTGAGTGTCCCAAACCCCCATTGAGTAGTAGAAGAAGAAGTCTTGATATGAAGTAGACTGTGTATTCTACAAGCACACAGAAAGTACGCGGTCCGAGTACAGAAGAAGATAAGAATCTCGGAATAAGGTTTCATATCATCAATCAAAGATATTCAAACGTCTTTGTCTTCTGTCTTACGTCCGTTAATCACCTTCACTTACAGCGCTTCTTCTTGATTTTATCGATCTGCTAGAATCGGGTTTGTTCTCTTCCACGCTAGGTTGTTACTGATGGTGTCGTAGTATTTTGAGTAGGAAATACTGTTAATGAATACTTGTATCTTCTGGATGATGACTTTGTTTAGTTCTCCAAGTTTCCACCTCATACATTCGAACTGTCTTGACATTTGTGTTGAAATTTATGACTTTGGTGTTTTGTTAATAGGTGTTTTGAGTTCTAGATGTTGTTCAGTTGGAAATATAAATGTAGTTATTGAAGAAATAGCTAAGTGGACAGTTCATAGGTTACCGGTTGCCTAATAACTCATTCAACTTAAGACCTGACTATCACTACTACATATTGTCCATCATATCGATTCGATAAAAATATTACTGTAAATCAAAATACTCGGGTTATTAATTAAGACAGATTAATACAGAAGAGAAAATAAAATCCCTGCTTACAATGCTTATTTGTGAACCTGAATCAAAATAGAAATAGCAGCCTCAGCCTTAGCAGGTCTCAACATACATAAAGGGTAAAGCAAGATTCTCCGATACAACACATCATGTGTCAACTAAATCACTCTTGATTGAGATGCCTTGAAGGACGTAAAAACCTTTACATATCTAGGCAGCTTCATTGACGAGCACGGTAGATCTAATGCAGATTTGAGGACACAGATCAGAAAAGCATGGGTTTCATTTCTACAATTGAAGAAAATTAGGAACTCAAAACAGCTGTCAACCAACAGCAAAGTCGAAATTCTCAATAGAAATGTCAAGATGGTTCTACTGAATTAGGCGGAAACTTGGAGAACTTGCAAGGCCATAATCCAGAAGATACCAGATACTTCGGATCCATTGGCCAGACACCATCAGCAACAACCTAACGTGTAAGAGAACAAACCAGATTATAGTGGAGGAAGAAATCAGGAAGAGGCGTGGAAAGTGGATGCGACAAACATTGAAGAAAACACCCAACCACGTTACAAGACAAGCCCTCAAGGTTGAAGAAAAAGAGGAAGGTCAATAAGCACATCACCAAGAGAAAAAGAGACAGACATGAGAAGGATGAACAAAAGTTGGGTAGAACTGGAAGGGGAGGTGCAGAACAGAGCAGGTTGGAAAATACTGGTCAGCAGCCTATGTTCTATTGTGGGTAACAGGCGTAAGTAAGTAAGTAAGGAAGTGAATATTACTTACTTACTTACTTACGCCTGTTACCCCCAATGGAGCATAGGCCGCCCACCAGTTTTCTCCAACCAACTCTGTCCTGGGCTTCCTTCTCCAGTTCTGTCCAATGTTTGTTCATTCTTCTCATATCTTTCTCTATTTCTCGACGTCATGTGTTCTTTGGCCTTCCTCTTTTCCTTTTGCCTTGAGGGTTCCATGTGAGGGCTTGTCTTGTGACGCAGTTAGGTGCTTTTCGTAGTGTGTGTCCTATCCACTTCCACCGCTTCTTCCTGATTTCCTCCTCCTCTGGAATCTGGTTTGTTCTCTCCCACAGTACGTTGTTGCTGATAGTGTCTGGCCAACGAATCCTCAGTATTTTGCGTAGACAACTGATGATGGCTTTGGTAGTTCTCCATGTTTCCGCTGCATACAGTAGAACTCTGTCTTGACATTTGTATTGAAAATCGTGATTTTGGTTTTGATTGAAAGTTGTTTGGAGTTCCAGATATTTTTCAACTGTAGAAATGCAGCCCTCGCTTTGCCAATCCGCACCCTCACATCTGCATCGGATCCACCTTTCTCGTCGATGATTCTGCCAAGATATGTAAAGGTGTTAAAGTCTTCCAAGGCATCTCCATCAAGAGTGAGTGATTTGGTTGGTGCATGTTGTGTTGCATCAGAGAATTTTGCTTTTTCCTTTATGTATGTTGAGACCTACTGCTGCAGAGGCTGCTGCTACACTGGTCGTCTTCTCTTGCATTGTATAAGAGTGGATAAGCGAAATTAAGTTTAATTAATGAATTCAGCCCTGTAAACTGTTAGTAGATATACCAGTCAACATATATATACCTAATTTAAACAGACAAACAGAGTAGCTGCTTTGATGTTATTAGTTGCACAGTATACAAATGTAGTAATTTTTCGCTTTTTTATATTCTAACTCAGCCTCCTTTTTGTCTACTTTCATTTATCATCACTACACAAGATTACAAATGCCAGTGTGATTGTCTACAATAAGTGTAAATTATTTCATCAACCACTGTTCAGCATTTATTATCGACAAAATATTCAATATCATCATTTACACGGTGATAGATTTGAAAATAAAACAAATCAATTGTCAAGAATGGATAAATTCTATATACTATCCGGTGGACCATATCATGGTGACCGATTTCTAGTAAGTTCTATTATTTAGAAATTCAAAACAGTGGTTCCTTTTGATAAATTTGAACAGAGAAATGAGAAGACATATTTTGTGTGAGATATTGGTACCATTTCGTGTACCATTTCTCGTCAGTCACATACAAGCAACATGTTATTTGTGTGTAAATACAGTTTTGAAGATAAGGTCAAAATGTCTTATTTAGCATGACATTCACTCACTCACTAGAACCATGGTAAACAAAGGTCAACATACAGTTGTTTTTGAACACATAAAGTTGAACTTTTTCGACCAATCAAGATAGCTTCGAATAGTTTGAGTGTGTATGGGTTTTGATTACATGTCACAACTCTATAAAGGCTGATTTTGGGTCAATTTGATGACCATTCATCATTAGATGTTTTGCAATGGACGAGGCTGGGTTTTGTTGATCGATCTTGAGATGATGGGCTAGGTGGTGGATGAATCATGGATTTGATTAACCATTTTGGAATACGTTCCCCCTATCCTGTCCTCCAATCGGCGATCTGTCCTACCCAAGTAACTTTCTCCGCAGTTACATGTGACGAAAAAGCAGGAAATGGTACTATCTCACAAAATATGTCTTCTCATTTCTCTGTTCAAAGTTCTATTATGTAAAATGCTATTTGTTGACTTGTTTATTGGTTTGTTTGCTATGATGATATTTACAATAATACGCTTTTGATAAATTTCATACACACTACAATGTTGAGTATGTTGTTGAAGTATGAATGTCATTGCAAAGGGTTTAACTGTTTTGAAGAACATTAAAAAAATAGGATGACTGTAATGTGGATCACAGTGAGATAGTTAGATAGAATGTAGAACTTTGTACATGATGAGTATATAAGTTCAAATTGTCATAGTGCATCAGCACAGAGCCGCAATTGTCAGTAGTAGAGATAGTAGAAGTATTAGCAGTAATGGAGAAGATTAGGGAGCGAAGATATGATTCGAGAAGTATAACTCAGTAAGATAAATTTAGAAAGAGAAAGATAGAGATGATAAGGAAATCAGAAGGTTAGAATTAGAGAGAATACAAAGAGTGAATGCACCTACGCCATTGCAAACGGTTCTGAGCCATGTCGTTCAAAGTCTCTAACCGTTGGTGACTTTCGTCTCACGGACCCCAACCAGGTAGTCTACATCTACCAACATGACACAGTCCCCTTGTCAGTGACTTCATGGATTTCTGCCATGCTTTGGTTTGGCCGCCCCTAACTTTCTTCCAATCTACTCCTACATCACAAAAGATAGCTCGTCGAGGCAGTCAGTGGTTAGGCATACGTAACACAAGTCCCAACCACCTCAAATGATGACGTTTCTATACTTCATCTATTGATCTGCCATCCTTACCTAGTGCTCGTTTCCTAACTATAGCATTGCTTACTGGGCTGTCACAGGATATACGAACAAGGCTTCGAATACGTCTATAATCCAATACCAGTAACCTACGAATATCCTCTACTCTTACTGGCCATGTTTCACATCCATATAGTAATGAATCACACGAAACTCCGTAATGAATCAGACTCAATATCTACAAGTATTGAGGCTAGCTGTAGTCTTTCTTCATTTTGTAACTTCAATTATTGTCGATACTGTCCAACGATCATTTAATATACTCGTTTATGACTTTCCTAGTCCTAAAACTAATAAACTTCACCAGTCATGCCTTTTCACTACAAATTTCAAAATTAAGGCGATAATAAAATTCATTTACAACTGACAGAGGTTCCCTATTTACATAATCATTTCAGTTAACAGATTTTTACGGATGTTGGAAAAGCAGTTTATATAACCACGAAATAATTCACAAGACAGTAAATACGGTTGACTGGATTACTGCTTCAGTTATCCATACTTTTATCAATAAAACCACGTAATGTTTGGCCTATCAGACATAAGAAACCCACAAAATCTTCATATAGCACTCTTTTTGTCTCAGAGTGTTTTATTCACGAAACCTTTCTTTCAGTAGTCATCTAAACAAACAGACAATTTTCCAAGCTTCAGATTTAATCTTAAGTTAGATATAGTTTTATTGAGACGTATGCGACTTTTCGTCAAAGATAAATCGAAATACACAAAGGTAAAATGACCAAAAAAATCGCCTACTCAATGCTCTTTGGACTTATGGTTGATTTGAACCCCACCAAACAGTCTACTTATACAAGAGGATACCATTAACTTCTTAGTGCTTTTCTAGCTACTGTTGATTTGTTATTACAGTTGTATGAATCTGAAGTATGCCGATAAGTTTATGTGAAAAATAGGAGGCAGTCAAACTTTATCAATCAATCAACGTCCTTGGATCGAAAACCTATTCACGCACCAAAGTATTTTTAGTCTAAAATTTCAACTACTTGGTAATTGTTAGTAGCATATCGTAAAGTAATAAAATATATCAATTCGTTGACTCAATTTTATGAATAGTATTTCCTTATCAACCATATTCAATGAAATGAAGTTCACCAAAGTTGAATTTACCTAACCTTATCGCTATAAAAGATTCAGCTATACTTATGTCAGATTATCTTCCTTGATCCTTTCAATATTGATTTATGTACGATGTTTCAACTCAATTATGTCAACATTTCCATTGAGAACATCAATTAGTCACGTAACACGGCAAAATCATCATTGTCATTTTCAGAAATGGTCAATATGAATCGCTTCCCTTTACTATGTATTCCTGCCTTTGTTTCTTGGCCAAAAATTTGTTTAGTGCCTGAAATATACACAACATTCTTTATTAGCTGATGAATGGTTATTTCACACGGCATTGTGAAGATTTGAAATCATCAATCAATCGTTGTTAGACCACCATTAGAAACCTGGAAGCTATAACTGAAAATATCGTAACAGCGCTCACTAGTGACTAGCTTCGTGAGGAAATTCTCTGAGTTCTATTTGAGAAGACTTGACCAATGGAGTTCAACCCAGTTGGCTGTAGACAGTAAATACCAAAGAAAAATGGGTGAGGTCGCGCAAAATCAGTAGATCAATCAGCGATAGACATTAACACTGTTGGATGCCGGCCCGGGGGTTAGACGTTCGCGCACAGTACCGAAGGTCCTAGGTTCGAATCCTGCAAGGTGCCGGAGTCGTGGATGCGCACTGTTGGTGAGTTCTATGCCAGGACGAAACGGCCGTCCAGTGCTTCCAGTTTTCTAATGGTGGTCTAACAATGATTGATTGATGATTTCAATTGTGTGAAAACACAAATCTCCAAAGCTCTAACTGAAAATGTTGTGAAGATTGTCAAGTTACACATTTTGAAACCATGAATCGATCAATGCTGGACCACCATTAGAAACCTGGAAGCACTGTACGTCGATGCGCACTGTTGATGAGTCCCGGACCGGGACGAAACGGCCATTCAGTGCTTCCCGCTTTCTAATAGTGGTCTAACATTGATCGATTGATGGTTTCAAAATGTGTGAACGCTTATGTAACATAATTTTATCAGTAACAAATTTGTATTAACTCAAAATATGACTAGACCTTGATTTAACGAATTTCTACTTCTTACTAATGAATATCAATACGTTCGTATTTTACAACATTATCAATGTTCATTTACAAAAATAACACAGTATAAATGAAGAATATCCATAACACGTTTTATCTGGACATTTGTCATTACCATTGCATTTCATTATTTTAGGGTGTTATGAAACAGATGAAATTATTTTTCACTGAATATGGAGCTCGAAAATATTGTTTTGATAATAGTGTAAGTGACTATTATTATTTAACGTTGTATAACATTAAAATTAATATTTTGACAATCAATAAACTATGCTACAAATCACATACAGTTGTTGAATTGTTGTTATCAGCGTTTTGAATGTAAATACTATTTTGCTGGATAATTTTATAGCGAGAAATTTATCCTGAAAGATTCCAAGTTTCCGTTATAAGTTATTGGCGAACAAGTGAAGATTTATTTGTCTTAGTTTGAAATAAGTCAACAGAAAGACTATTTGTTGGGGATGTTAGATCCCCAGAATTTGTTTGATAAATGCCTTAATTTTGGATTTCACGTTTGAGAGCATAGGCTGATCAGTTGACCTTCAAATTTCATTTCCCACCAGGAAAATCCTTGGCTGTGTGATTGGCTGCTGTGTATTTGAGAGTGCTATTTTTGTGACTGTTCCAATGAAGTTTCTACGATGTATAAATAAACGAGAGTTGTGTGCTTGATTGTATTGTGATTGTTGGTTATTTGTAGAATATACTTTCTACGCTTACCAAGACTTCTGTTTACAGCTTGAGATTCAAGGTAGCCTATCTGAACTCTGGTAATTGTCTCGTTCGCATTTATCGACTAAGGTGAACTCGTAATAGCTTCAAGCGTACCAAGTGACGAACATAACACTATTCATTGCTCGTAGCTCTTAATAGTTCTTCAGTAGACTACATTTTATGAGAATAGCAGTCAGCAAGGAGCAGGAGCTAGCAGAATGTGCTATCGCGAACTACTACATTATCAGATAATATAAAAAGACTCAGTCCTTTAGAAAATCATTCGCTGAATTCAAAGCTCGGTATTCTTTTTCTTCAACGAATGATTAAGCACATATAACGTGTATATGTCCGAACCAATAATCAGGCTATCAGAAAACTTAAACAAGTACCTTAAAATCTTGAAAATCCACAAGATTATTAAAGTAAAATCATCAGACAACAATTTATCGTAAATAACAAATCTTTTATAGACAGAAAGTGTAAGTTAATATATTTATTATTCAGTGATTAAAAGTCAGGTCAGTTAGGAATAATTGGTGTTATGCTGAACTTTTTTGGGGTCATTTGAAATTCATTAAACTAACAATATAAAATAATCACTTATTTAACTCGTTTAACGATTAGATTTTCAAAGATGACTATAATCCCCAAAATAAATTTAATTACATTTGAAAGTTCATTTTCTCACTGGCATGTTATATTAGTGAAATTTTACAAAACTTTTTAACTGGATCACAAGATAACAAACACTGCTTCGATAATAACAATTAATTCGAATATAATATTTTAATGCACGAAATGAATTGCATTTTCTACAGAAAGAAGATTTTTCTCAAGAAAAAATAATGCAATGTAATTTGTGGAGATGGCATGACAAACTTATTTTGTAAATAGTTTTTGATACTAATTGTATTTATTCTGTTAATTTTCACAGCCTGTACACATTCACTATGAAATGGTTGTACATTTTGTTTAAGTATGTGTCCTTGAAAGATATCAGGCGCTTTAATCTGGGAGAACCACATCCTAGGATTACTAATACTATATACAGGGAGCTTAAAATCTGACATAGCGTTAATGGAACTTAGAACTTTATCATCAGATTGTGGTGTGGTAAAAGTATTTGCTGGAGAAAAATCGATTATCAGTAGTTTGATGTAGGTAAAAGCGTATTTGATAGAAACAAAACGTGTAAGCCGAAAATGTTAATAAAACATTATAGTAGTACAACAAATAGCATAAACGTGGGCTCACCAATTAATTGTGGTGGACCAGTCAATATATTATTTCAAAATATTAACAAAGTTATTGAATACAAATAGATGTATATTGAAATATATCAGTTAAATATAATAAATACAATAAATATGTAAGGACGTTACTTTATACGGCTGCTTGTACGTGTTCGGTTGTGTTTGGTAACATAAATCCACAATTATAGAAATGTTAGTAATCCAAATGATTTAAATATCCGTAAAGTAGCATATACGTATGACTGCAGTCTATAAATGTAGACAATATACGTATTAGAATCCAGTTATCGCATTAATGAACAATTGAGAACATGAGACGTGCGTATAAAGTGTATCTGGTAGGATGAGGCAGTGAGTGCCGTGTTATGTGTACACAGAACGGAAATGTGGAGCAGTTAAAGCGCCTGATATTTTTCAAGGACACACACTTAAACAAAATGTACAACCATTTCATAGTGAATGTACAAACTGTGAAAATTAACAGAATAAATACAAATAGTATCAAAAACTATTTACAAAATAAGTTTGTCATGCCATCTCCACAAATTGATCATTTTCAACTGATTCACGAGGAAATAATGCTTAAAAATGTACTTGTCCAGTTAATCAGTAAAAAAATAAATATATTTTTAGAATTCGAGTTATGAAGATTAGTGCTTTTACACCTTGAAATCATGAATCAATCATTGTTAGGTCACCATTAGAAACCTACTAGCACTGGACAGCCGTTTCGTCCTACTATAGGACTCATCAGAAGTGCGCATCAACGACCTCTGCTACTCTCAGAGTCCGAACCCTGGACCCAGGACGAAACGAACGTCCAGTGCTTCCTAGTTTCTAATGGTGGTCTAACAATGATTAACTGACTCCTTGAAACGTGGAAAATGAGATAAAATTATGTCAGCAAGAACTTTAACATTATAACATTAATTAAAATATGAAAACGAATTAAATTTCACCATCAGAATTAAATATTCTTTATCAATAGTACTATTTTCTACGTAAGCAACGTCATGGTTCCGTTATATAAAAACTAAGTGAATTACCTCGTTCAAACCGAATTCATTACGCATTGTGTACCACCATGTATGTTTGATACATTAAACAAGTACTTGATGTCTAGTGTCTGCTTTATTGTCATCTAGACTCTCTCTAGATGAAAAGATAACATTTTAATTCCTAGTACTTTTTGTCTGTCTAAGAGTCCTTGATAGCTTGAGTACTACGCCAAAAGTTACAATAATTTATCGTTACGGGGTTGTGAAGATTGTTAAGTTACACATTTTTCAAACCATGAATCGATCAATATTAGACCACCATTAAAAACCTGGAAGCACTGGACGGCCGTTTCGTCCTGGTATGGGACTTTTCAGCAGTGCGCATCCACGACCCCTGCACCCCGCAGGGTTCGATCCCAGGACCTAAGGTATAGTAGGCGGATGCCTAACCATCGGACCACCGAGCCAACACCAAAAGGTGTTAATGTCCAACTTGTGACTAGCTCACTAGTGACTAGCTTCGTGAGGAATCTTCCACAAGTTCTAGTGGGAAGACGTGACCAGCGAAGTTCAACCTGTTCGGGTGTAGGGAGTGTCTACCGAAGACTGTATATGAAGTTGCGCATCTCCGTGAATTGATCAAGTTAGACATTAACACCGTTAGATACCGGATCAGTCGTCCAGAGATTAGGCGTTGGCGCACAATACCGAAGTCCTGGGTTCGAATCCTGCGGGGTGGAGGAGTCGTGGATGAGCACTATTAATGAGTCCCATACCAGGGCGAAACGGCCGTTCATTGCTTCCAGATTTCTAATGGTGGTTTAACAATGATCGATTCATGATTTCAAAAATGAATAATTTGTCAGTTAACATTTTTTTTACTACATATCTTGTGCAGTTATTTTCTCCGGGAAGTGTATATTAAGGCTTTGAACAGTTTAAAATAAATGACAAGCATTTTTTTTCGTTCTCCATTTTGTCTTCTGTACAATCATTGCATAGAATTTCAAACTATGTAAAAATGAATTCAGTGTACCATATATCAAAACAGAATCGCAAAAATCTTACCAATTCAACAAAACAGGTGAGAAAGTGTCAGTAAGTACATCATATACAAATCAGACATTTAATTTTTATATTATTTCAAAAACATCATTTGGAATTATTCATTCTAGGCAGAGATCTTGCCATATTCGTGTTTCACATTCTTGAAAACATGAATCGATCAATGTTAGACTACCATTAGAAACCTGGAAGCAATGGATGGCCGTTCCGTCCAGGTATGAGACTCATCAACAGTGCTCATTCTCGATGATATTGTCCTACTTGGTGAAGACGCTGACAAAATGCGGAGTCTTCTGACCACCATAAGCAACAATGCAAGCATGTTCGGGATGCGGTTCTCACCCTCGAAATGCAAAATATTGCTTCAAGATTGGGTTGCATCGGCACCTGAACTAGCGATAGGGATTGAAGTAGTCGAGCGTGTAGACCGCTTCACTTATCTGGGGAGACTCATCAGTGCCGATGGCTTGGTGACTGACGGAATCTCAGCACGGATACAGAAGGCTGGATTGGCTTTTGCCAACCTGCGTCACTTATGGCGTAGGCGAGATATCCGTTTGCTGACTAGAGGACGAGTGTACTGTGCAGTTGTTCGCTCCGTCTTACTTTATGGCTGTGAAACATGACCAGTGAGAGTAGAAGATATTCGTGGGTTACTGGATTTTGATCATAGGTGTCTTCGAAGCATTGCTCGTATATCCTGGGACACCCGAGTGAGCAACGTTGTTATTAGGAATCGGGTGCTAGGTAAGAATGACAGATCAGTTGACGCAGTAGTGACACTTCATCAGTTGAGGTGGTTGGGACATGTGTTACGTATGCCTAACCACCGACTGCCTCGAAGAGCTTTGTTTTGTACTGTAGGAGTAGGTTGGAAGAAAGTTAGGGGCGGCCAGACCAAAACATGGCAGCAATCCATGGAGTCATTGACAAGTGGACTTAGCCATGTCGGTAATTGTCGACTACCTGGTTGTGGTCCGCGAGATGATAATAATCGATGGCTAGAGACCTTGAATGACATGGCTCAGAATCGTTCGCAATGGTGCCGGTGTATTTATTCTTTTTGTTCTCTCAAATCCTAATCTTCTGCATTCTTCAACACCTCTAGTTTTGTCTTTTTAAACTTATCTCATTTAATCATACTTCTTGAATAATATCTTCTAATCCTAACGTCTCCGATTACTCCTAATACCTTTACTACCTCTTCTACTATTGGATTTGAATTGACAATTATATCTCTGTACTGATGTGGTATGGCGACATGAACTGATGTACTTACGTACGAATTTCTACGTTGCATCTGACTGCTCATCCTCGACTCCGGCACCTCACAGGATTCGAACCCAGGTCTTTCGGAACTCTGTGTGCGAACGCCTAACCTCTAGACCACTGAGCCAGTATCTAATGCTATTAATGTCTAACTTGATCAATTCACGGAGTTGCGCAACCTCATACACAGTCTTCGATTTAATTGACAGTTTTCTGACAAGCATTAAAACCTTGATTCAAATGACTTTTATGATTTACTGTGACCTATCAAACACTAAGTGCACACTGATCTCCTTTGGTCAATAGTAAAGGTCATTCAAAAAAAACAATCGATAGACTTCTGTATTCTTTTTAGTTTAGAGAAATGATAACGTCACACTGCTTTAGCCGAATTCGAGTGTTTGTCTATAAAATCGTTATCGAAATCAACTGTACCCATACACACACACACAAGCGAATCTTATATTTTGGGGCGAAGTTTTGAAGGTTTGCGTTTTTACACATTTGAAATCATCAATCAATCGTTGTTAGACCACCATTAGAAAACTGGAAGCATTGAATGCCGTTTCGTCCTGGTATAGGACTCATCAGCAGTGAGCATCCACGACCTCACAGGATTCGAACCAAGTACCTTTGGTACTGTGCGCGAACGTCTAACACCTCTGAACCACCTGGCCGGCATCCAACGGTGTTAACGTCTAACGCTGATTGCTATACTGATTTTGCGCGACCTCACCCATTTGTGTTTGGTAGTTACTGCCTACACCCGACAGGTTTGAACTCCATTGGTCAAGTCTTCTCAACTAGAACTCCGAGAATTTCCTCACGAAGCTAGTCACTAGTGAGCAGCACTGTTACGATATTTTGGGGCAGAGTTTTTTGGAGGCTTGCGTTTTTACACATTTGATGATTTGAAATCATATATTTCCCAAACTAACAAAAATTTCATGATCGATTTGTGATAAAAAAATTTTTCTACAGTGATTACTATTTAAACTGATTTAAAAAAATAGTGAGGATCATTCATCATGTTAACAACATTTTTTTTCTAACATTTTTAGTCGAATTCAATAGAACAATTGAACAAACTTTGAACAACATTGATAAACAATTAAACACTATTCACATTTATAATCGAACTAAAAAGCGGATACTTAATAAAAACAGTAGGAGAAACTACCATGGATTGGAATCGAGTAAATTTCCTAAATGTACTCAAGATATTCATCAGACTAAATGTAATTCATTCAATTTCAATCAGTCAGTGATAAATGTAAGTTGAAAATTGACTGTATACATATATATATAGATTAAATGTTAGTAGGTATTCATTGAAATTAACGAGTCGGTATAAAAGGTAGTTTCAGTGAAATAACTGGATTAAAAAAAAGGTATAATGGTGTTTTAGTGTGAACTGGATTGTATGTATATTTATATCGAGTCCACGGAGCTTGTCTCAGCCTCTGGATGATGCTTCTTCGGTGATCGTCACGTTCTCCAAACGAACTAAATATTCGAATTCTACTTGATTGCTTCGAATCTAGTTTGTGTGTGCGTAGGTACTCTTGAATCTATTATCACATGACTAGCTATTCATTTCTAATAGTAGATAATATGCCATGTTTAAAATCGTAGCAAAACATCTATTACCTCATTAATATGTATCAATATCCTGGAAGGATAGTATGTAAAATGTTCGTCAACCGACAGAAATGACTACAATAAATATATAAGCAAAAACAACAGAGAAGCCATGAGAAAATGTCAACGGACAAAATGATATAGAGAAGGAAAACGAAAATAAAGTGAAGGAAAAAATTACGCAAACACAAAGAAAATGGGTGAAAGGATGATTCGCCGACCAGGATCAAAAGGGTATGTGATACGGAGTGAAAACTGGTGACCGGCATCAGTCGACAAAGCATCGACCAAGATGCATGCAAGTGACGAGGTGTTGTCGAATGCATGGAACGTGTGCTCGCTCACCGAATCGTGTGCATGCAGAGATTGACAGTCAGTGTAGGTGGGTGAGTCGGTGCAGACGTCACTGGGATTCGGACGGAGGTTGTGCACAGTAAATCTGTGTGCCGACTGAATAGCGCATTGTGACTGCAGACAAGTTGGATGCGCTCACTGATTGACCAGTTGTGTGAATGTGTCATGTGAGATGATGCTGTGAATCTGTGTGATGTGTGAGAATGAACACGCCACAAACTGGCATTGTATGTGCACAGTACACACTGGAGCCTAATGCACTCTATGATCTGTTCGACTTTCAGGTGTCAAGTGAACAACCAACTGCGGTCAATGAACGCCACACCGGAGACGCTGTGACCAGAGATACTACACGAGGTGCTGACTCCATCAGTCCCATGGGTGGTGGTGGTGTGGATGCGGACGAGGAGAATCTTCTCGACACACAGGTAATGCTGTTTCACACACTTGTTGTTGCCTTGATTGACGTGTTGTGCCATGTTGGTGAGATCGGTGACACTAGTCAGTCGTCGTATGTGTAGGCATTGAGCAGGCAGGCACATCAGATCGGTGCACATCACGGTCACTGGTCCATTGAGTGTGGGATGTGGTGGACAATGTGATTGTGCACACTGAGATGGACTGTCTGTGTGAGGGTGTGTTGGTGTGTGCGTTGTTGCGTGTTTGTGAATCAGTGTGACGTGTGGTGTCCGGCATCAGTCGAGAAAAGCATCGAACAAGATGCATGCAAGTGACGAGGTGTTGTCGAATGCATGGAACGTGTGCTCACTCACCGAATCGTGTGCATGGAGAGATTGACAGGCAGTGTAGGTGGGTGACTCGTTGCAGACGTCACTGAGATTCGGACGGAGGTTGTGCACAGTAAATCTGTGTGCCGACTGAATAGCGCATTGTGACTGCAGACAAGTTGGATGCGCTCACTGATTGACCAGTTGTGTGAATGTGTCATGTGAGATGATGCTGTGAATCTGTGTGATGTGTGAGAATGAACACGCCACAAACTGGCATTGTATGTGCACAGTACACACTGGAGCCTAATGCACTCTATGATCTGTTCGACTTTCAGGTGTCAAGTGAACAACCAACTGCGGTCAATGAACGCCACACCGGAGACGCTGTGACCAGAGATACTACACGAGGTGCTGACTCCATCAGTCCCATGGGTGGTGGTGGTGTGGATGCGGACGAGGAGAATCTTCTCGACACACAGGTAATGCTGTTTCACACACTTGTTGTTGCCTTGATTGACGTGTTGTGCCATGTTGGTGAGATCGGTGACACTAGTCAGTCGTCGTATGTGTAGGCATTGAGCAGGCAGGCACATCAGATCGGTGCACATCACGGTCACTGGTCCATTGAGTGTGGGATGTGGTGGACAATGTGATTGTGCACACTGAGATGGACTGTCTGTGTGAGGGTGTGTTGGTGTGTGCGTTGTTGCGTGTTTGTGAATCAGTGTGACGTGTGGTGTCCGGCATCAGTCGAGAAAAGCATCGAACAAGATGCATGCAAGTGACGAGGTGTTGTCGAATGCATGGAACGTGTGCTCACTCACCGAATCGTGTGCATGGAGAGATTGACAGGCAGTGTAGGTGGGTGAGTCGGTGCAGACGTCACTGAGATTCGGACGGAGGTTGTGCACAGTAAATCTGTGTGCCGACTGAATAGCGCATTGTGACTGCAGACAAGTTGGATGCGCTCACTGATTGACCAGTTGTGTGAATGTGTCATGTGAGATGATGCTGTGAATCTGTGTGATGTGTGAGAATGAACACGCCACAAACTGGCATTGTATGTGCACAGTACACACTGGAGCCTAATGCACTCTATGATCTGTTCGACTTTCAGGTGTCAAGTGAACAACCAACTGCGGTCAATGAACGCCACACCGGAGACGCTGTGACCAGAGATACTACACGAGGTGCTGACTCCATCAGTCCCATGGGTGGTGGTGGTGTGGATGCGGACGAGGAGAATCTTCTCGACACACAGGTAATGCTGTTTCACACACTTGTTGTTGCCTTGATTGACGTGTTGTGCCATGTTGGTGAGATCGGTGACACTAGTCAGTCGTCGTATGTGTAGGCATTGAGCAGGCAGGCACATCAGATCGGTGCACATCACGGTCACTGGTCCATTGAGTGTGGGATGTGGTGGACAATGTGATTGTGCACACTGAGATGGACTGTCTGTGTGAGGGTGTGTTGGTGTGTGCGTTGTTGCGTGTTTGTGAATCAGTGTGACGTGTGGTGTCCGGCATCAGTCGAGAAAAGCATCGAACAAGATGCATGCAAGTGACGAGGTGTTGTCGAATGCATGGAACGTGTGCTCACTCACCGAATCGTGTGCATGGAGAGATTGACAGGCAGTGTAGGTGGGTGAGTCGGTGCAGACGTCACTGGGATTCGGACGGAGGTTGTGCACAGTAAATCTGTGTGCCGACTGAATAGCGCATTGTGACTGCAGACAAGTTGGATGCGCTCACTGATTGACCAGTTGTGTGAATGTGTCATGTGAGATGATGCTGTGAATCTGTGTGATGTGTGAGAATGAACACGCCACAAACTGGCATTGTATGTGCACAGTACACACTGGAGCCTAATGCACTCTATGATCTGTTCGACTTTCAGGTGTCAAGTGAACAACCAACTGCGGTCAATGAACGCCACACCGGAGACGCTGTGACCAGAGATACTACACGAGGTGCTGACTCCATCAGTCCCATGGGTGGTGGTGGTGTGGATGCGGACGAGGAGAATCTTCTCGACACACAGGTAATGCTGTTTCACACACTTGTTGTTGCCTTGATTGACGTGTTGTGCCATGTTGGTGAGATCGGTGACACTAGTCAGTCGTCGTATGTGTAGGCATTGAGCAGGCAGGCACATCAGATCGGTGCACATCACGGTCACTGGTCCATTGAGTGTGGGATGTGGTGGACAATGTGATTGTGCACACTGAGATGGACTGTCTGTGTGAGGGTGTGTTGGTGTGTGCGTTGTTGCGTGTTTGTGAATCAGTGTGACGTGTGGTGTCCGGCATCAGTCGAGAAAAGCATCGAACAAGATGCATGCAAGTGACGAGGTGTTGTCGAATGCATGGAACGTGTGCTCACTCACCGAATCGTGTGCATGGAGAGATTGACAGTCAGTGTAGGTGGGTGAGTCGGTGCAGACGTCACTGAGATTCGGACGGAGGTTGTGCACAGCAAATCTGTGTGCCGACTGAATAGCGCATTGTGACTGCAGACAAGTTGGATGCGCTCACTGATTGACCAGTTGTGTGAATGTGTCATGTGAGATGATGCTGTGAATCTGTGTGATGTGTGAGAATGAACACGCCACAAACTGGCATTGTATGTGCACAGTACACACTGGAGCCTAATGCACTCTATGATCTGTTTGACTTTCAGGTGTCAAGTGAACAACCAACTGCGGTCAATGAACGCCACACCGGAGACGCTGTGACCAGAGATACTACACGAGGTGCTGACTCCATCAGTCCCATGGGTGGTGGTGGTGTGGATGCGGACGAGGAGAATCTTCTCGACACACAGGTAATGCTGTTTCACACACTTGTTGTTGCCTTGATTGACGTGTTGTGCCATGTTGGTGAGATCGGTGACACTAGTCAGTCGTCGTATGTGTAGGCATTGAGCAGGCAGGCACATCAGATCGGTGCACATCACGGTCACTGGTCCATTGAGTGTGGGATGTGGTGGACAATGTGATTGTGCACACTGAGATGGACTGTCTGTGTGAGGGTGTGTTGGTGTGTGCGTTGTTGCGTGTTTGTGAATCAGTGTGACGTGTGGTGTCCGGCATCAGTCGAGAAAAGCATCGAACAAGATGCATGCAAGTGACGAGGTGTTGTCGAATGCATGGAACGTGTGCTCACTCACCGAATCGTGTGCATGGAGAGATTGACAGTCAGTGTAGGTGGGTGAGTCGGTGCAGACGTCACTGAGATTCGGACGGAGGTTGTGCACAGCAAATCTGTGTGCCGACTGAATAGCGCATTGTGACTGCAGACAAGTTGGATGCGCTCACTGATTGACCAGTTGTGTGAATGTGTCATGTGAGATGATGCTGTGAATCTGTGTGATGTGTGAGAATGAACACGCCACAAACTGGCATTGTATGTGCACAGTACACACTGGAGCCTAATGCACTCTATGATCTGTTTGACTTTCAGGTGTCAAGTGAACAACCAACTGCGGTCAATGAACGCCACACCGGAGACGCTGTGACCAGAGATACTACACGAGGTGCTGACTCCATCAGTCCCATGGGTGGTGGTGGTGTGGATGCGGACGAGGAGAATCTTCTCGACACACAGGTAATGCTGTTTCACACACTTGTTGTTGCCTTGATTGACGTGTTGTGCCATGTTGGTGAGATCGGTGACACTAGTCAGTCGTCGTATGTGTAGGCATTGAGCAGGCAGGCACATCAGATCGGTGCACATCACGGTCACTGGTCCATTGAGTGTGGGATGTGGTGGACAATGTGATTGTGCACACTGAGATGGACTGTCTGTGTGAGGGTGTGTTGGTGTGTGCGTTGTTGCGTGTTTGTGAATCAGTGTGACGTGTGGTGTCCGGCATCAGTCGAGAAAAGCATCGAACAAGATGCATGCAAGTGACGAGGTGTTGTCGAATGCATGGAACGTGTGCTCACTCACCGAATCGTGTGCATGGAGAGATTGACAGTCAGTGTAGGTGGGTGAGTCGGTGCAGACGTCACTGAGATTCGGACGGAGGTTGTGCACAGCAAATCTGTGTGCCGACTGAATAGCGCATTGTGACTGCAGACAAGTTGGATGCGCTCACTGATTGACCAGTTGTGTGAATGTGTCATGTGAGATGATGCTGTGAATCTGTGTGATGTGTGAGAATGAACACGCCACAAACTGGCATTGTATGTGCACAGTACACACTGGAGCCTAATGCACTCTATGATCTGTTCGACTTTCAGGTGTCAAGTGAACAACCAACTGCGGTCAATGAACGCCACACCGGAGACGCTGTGACCAGAGATACTACACGAGGTGCTGACTCCATCAGTCCCATGGGTGGTGGTGGTGTGGATGCGGACGAGGAGAATCTTCTCGACACACAGGTAATGCTGTTTCACACACTTGTTGTTGCCTTGATTGACGTGTTGTGCCATGTTGGTGAGATCGGTGACACTAGTCAGTCGTCGTATGTGTAGGCATTGAGCAGGCAGGCACATCAGATCGGTGCACATCACGGTCACTGGTCCATTGAGTGTGGGATGTGGTGGACAATGTGATTGTGCACACTGAGATGGACTGTCTGTGTGAGGGTGTGTTGGTGTGTGCGTTGTTGCGTGTTTGTGAATCAGTGTGACGTGTGGTGACCGGCATCAGTCGACAAAGCATCGACCAAGATGCATGCAAGTGACGAGGTGTTGTCGAATGCATGGAACGTGTGCTCGCTCACCGAATCGTGTGCATGCAGAGATTGACAGTCAGTGTAGGTGGGTGAGTCGGTGCAGACGTCACTGGTATTCGGACGGAGGTTGTGCACAGCAAATCTGTGTGCCGACTGAATAGCGCATTGTGACTGCAGACAAGTTGGATGCGCTCACTGATTGACCAGTTGTGTGAATGTGTCATGTGAGATGATGCTGTGAATCTGTGTGATGTGTGAGAATGAACACGCCACAAACTGGCATTGTATGTGCACAGTACACACTGGAGCCTAATGCACTCTATGATCTGTTTGACTTTCAGGTGTCAAGTGAACAACCAACTGCGGTCAATGAACGCCACACCGGAGACGCTGTGACCAGAGATACTACACGAGGTGCTGACTCCATCAGTCCCATGGGTGGTGGTGGTGTGGATGCGGACGAGGAGAATCTTCTCGACACACAGGTAATGCTGTTTCACACACTTGTTGTTGCCTTGATTGACGTGTTGTGCCATGTTGGTGAGATCGGTGACACTAGTCAGTCGTCGTATGTGTAGGCATTGAGCAGGCAGGCACATCAGATCGGTGCACATCACGGTCACTGGTCCATTGAGTGTGGGATGTGGTGGACAATGTGATTGTGCACACTGAGATGGACTGTCTGTGTGAGGGTGTGTTGGTGTGTGCGTTGTTGCGTGTTTGTGAATCAGTGTGACGTGTGGTGTCCGGCATCAGTCGAGAAAAGCATCGAACAAGATGCATGCAAGTGACGAGGTGTTGTCGAATGCATGGAACGTGTGCTCGCTCACCGAATCGTGTGCATGGAGAGATTGACAGTCAGTGTAGGTGGGTGAGTCGGTGCAGACGTCACTGGGATTCGGACGGAGGTTGTGCACAGCAAATCTGTGTGCCGACTGAATAGCGCATTGTGACTGCAGACAAGTTGGATGCGCTCACTGATTGACCAGTTGTGTGAATGTGTCATGTGAGATGATGCTGTGAATCTGTGTGATGTGTGAGAATGAACACGCCACAAACTGGCATTGTATGTGCACAGTACACACTGGAGCCTAATGCACTCTATGATCTGTTTGACTTTCAGGTGTCAAGTGAACAACCAACTGCGGTCAATGAACGCCACACCGGAGACGCTGTGACCAGAGATACTACACGAGGTGCTGACTCCATCAGTCCCATGGGTGGTGGTGGTGTGGATGCGGACGAGGAGAATCTTCTCGACACACAGGTAATGCTGTTTCACACACTTGTTGTTGCCTTGATTGACGTGTTGTGCCATGTTGGTGAGATCGGTGACACTAGTCAGTCGTCGTATGTGTAGGCATTGAGCAGGCAGGCACATCAGATCGGTGCACATCACGGTCACTGGTCCATTGAGTGTGGGATGTGGTGGACAATGTGATTGTGCACACTGAGATGGACTGTCTGTGTGAGGGTGTGTTGGTGTGTGCGTTGTTGCGTGTTTGTGAATCAGTGTGACGTGTGGTGTCCGGCATCAGTCGAGAAAAGCATCGAACAAGATGCATGCAAGTGACGAGGTGTTGTCGAATGCATGGAACGTGTGCTCACTCACCGAATCGTGTGCATGGAGAGATTGACAGGCAGTGTAGGTGGGTGAGCTCGGTGCAGACGTCACTGGGATTCGGACGGAGGTTGTGCACAGCAAATCTGTGTGCCGACTGAATAGCGCATTGTGACTGCAGACAAGTTGGATGCGCTCACTGATTGACCAGTTGTGTGAATGTGTCATGTGAGATGATGCTGTGAATCTGTGTGATGTGTGAGAATGAACACGCCACAAACTGGCATTGTATGTGCACAGTACACACTGGAGCCTAATGCACTCTATGATCTGTTTGACTTTCAGGTGTCAAGTGAACAACCAACTGCGGTCAATGAACGCCACACCGGAGACGCTGTGACCAGAGATACTACACGAGGTGCTGACTCCATCAGTCCCATGGGTGGTGGTGGTGTGGATGCGGACGAGGAGAATCTTCTCGACACACAGGTAATGCTGTTTCACACACTTGTTGTTGCCTTGATTGACGTGTTGTGCCATGTTGGTGAGATCGGTGACACTAGTCAGTCGTCGTATGTGTAGGCATTGAGCAGGCAGGCACATCAGATCGGTGCACATCACGGTCACTGGTCCATTGAGTGTGGGATGTGGTGGACAATGTGATTGTGCACACTGAGATGGACTGTCTGTGTGAGGGTGTGTTGGTGTGTGCGTTGTTGCGTGTTTGTGAATCAGTGTGACGTGTGGTGTCCGGCATCAGTCGAGAAAAGCATCGAACAAGATGCATGCAAGTGACGAGGTGTTGTCGAATGCATGGAACGTGTGCTCACTCACCGAATCGTGTGCATGGAGAGATTGACAGGCAGTGTAGGTGGGTGAGTCGGTGCAGACGTCACTGGGATTCGGACGGAGGTTGTGCACAGCAAATCTGTGTGCCGACTGAATAGCGCATTGTGACTGCAGACAAGTTGGATGCGCTCACTGATTGACCAGTTGTGTGAATGTGTCATGTGAGATGATGCTGTGAATCTGTGTGATGTGTGAGAATGAACACGCCACAAACTGGCATTGTATGTGCACAGTACACACTGGAGCCTAATGCACTCTATGATCTGTTTGACTTTCAGGTGTCAAGTGAACAACCAACTGCGGTCAATGAACGCCACACCGGAGACGCTGTGACCAGAGATACTACACGAGGTGCTGACTCCATCAGTCCCATGGGTGGTGGTGGTGTGGATGCGGACGAGGAGAATCTTCTCGACACACAGGTAATGCTGTTTCACACACTTGTTGTTGCCTTGATTGACGTGTTGTGCCATGTTGGTGAGATCGGTGACACTAGTCAGTCGTCGTATGTGTAGGCATTGAGCAGGCAGGCACATCAGATCGGTGCACATCACGGTCACTGGTCCATTGAGTGTGGGATGTGGTGGACAATGTGATTGTGCACACTGAGATGGACTGTCTGTGTGAGGGTGTGTTGGTGTGTGCGTTGTTGCGTGTTTGTGAATCAGTGTGACGTGTGGTGTCCGGCATCAGTCGAGAAAAGCATCGAACAAGATGCATGCAAGTGACGAGGTGTTGTCGAATGCATGGAACGTGTGCTCACTCACCGAATCGTGTGCATGGAGAGATTGACAGTCAGTGTAGGTGGGTGAGTCGGTGCAGACGTCACTGAGATTCGGACGGAGGTTGTGCACAGCAAATCTGTGTGCCGACTGAATAGCGCACTGTGACTGCAGACAAGTTGGATGCGCTCACTGATTGACCAGTTGTGTGAATGTGTCATGTGAGATGATGCTGTGAATCTGTGTGATGTGTGAGAATGAACACGCCACAAACTGGCATTGTATGTGCACAGTACACACTGGAGCCTAATGCACTCTATGATCTGTTTGACTTTCAGGTGTCAAGTGAACAACCAACTGCGGTCAATGAACGCCACACCGGAGACGCTGTGACCAGAGATACTACACGAGGTGCTGACTCCATCAGTCCCATGGGTGGTGGTGGTGTGGATGCGGACGAGGAGAATCTTCTCGACACACAGGTAATGCTGTTTCACACACTTGTTGTTGCCTTGATTGACGTGTTGTGCCATGTTGGTGAGATCGGTGACACTAGTCAGTCGTCGTATGTGTAGGCATTGAGCAGGCAGGCACATCAGATCGGTGCACATCACGGTCACTGGTCCATTGAGTGTGGGATGTGGTGGACAATGTGATTGTGCACACTGAGATGGACTGTCTGTGTGAGGGTGTGTTGGTGTGTGCGTTGTTGCGTGTTTGTGAATCAGTGTGACGTGTGGTGTCCGGCATCAGTCGAGAAAAGCATCGAACAAGATGCATGCAAGTGACGAGGTGTTGTCGAATGCATGGAACGTGTGCTCACTCACCGAATCGTGTGCATGGAGAGATTGACAGGCAGTGTAGGTGGGTGAGTCGGTGCAGACGTCACTGAGATTCGGACGGAGGTTGTGCACAGCAAATCTGTGTGCCGACTGAATAGCGCATTGTGACTGCAGACAAGTTGGATGCGCTCACTGATTGACCAGTTGTGTGAATGTGTCATGTGAGATGATGCTGTGAATCTGTGTGATGTGTGAGAATGAACACGCCACAAACTGGCATTGTATGTGCACAGTACACACTGGAGCCTAATGCACTCTATGATCTGTTTGACTTTCAGGTGTCAAGTGAACAACCAACTGCGGTCAATGAACGCCACACCGGAGACGCTGTGACCAGAGATACTACACGAGGTGCTGACTCCATCAGTCCCATGGGTGGTGGTGGTGTGGATGCGGACGAGGAGAATCTTCTCGACACACAGGTAATGCTGTTTCACACACTTGTTGTTGCCTTGATTGACGTGTTGTGCCATGTTGGTGAGATCGGTGACACTAGTCAGTCGTCGTATGTGTAGGCATTGAGCAGGCAGGCACATCAGATCGGTGCACATCACGGTCACTGGTCCATTGAGTGTGGGATGTGGTGGACAATGTGATTGTGCACACTGAGATGGACTGTCTGTGTGAGGGTGTGTTGGTGTGTGCGTTGTTGCGTGTTTGTGAATCAGTGTGACGTGTGGTGTCCGGCATCAGTCGAGAAAAGCATCGAACAAGATGCATGCAAGTGACGAGGTGTTGTCGAATGCATGGAACGTGTGCTCACTCACCGAATCGTGTGCATGGAGAGATTGACAGTCAGTGTAGGTGGGTGACTCGGTGCAGACGTCACTGGGATTCGGACGGAGGTTGTGCACAGCAAATCTGTGTGCCGACTGAATAGCGCATTGTGACTGCAGACAAGTTGGATGCGCTCACTGATTGACCAGTTGTGTGAATGTGTCATGTGAGATGATGCTGTGAATCTGTGTGATGTGTGAGAATGAACACGCCACAAACTGGCATTGTATGTGCACAGTACACACTGGAGCCTAATGCACTCTATGATCTGTTTGACTTTCAGGTGTCAAGTGAACAACCAACTGCGGTCAATGAACGCCACACCGGAGACGCTGTGACCAGAGATACTACACGAGGTGCTGACTCCATCAGTCCCATGGGTGGTGGTGGTGTGGATGCGGACGAGGAGAATCTTCTCGACACACAGGTAATGCTGTTTCACACACTTGTTGTTGCCTTGATTGACGTGTTGTGCCATGTTGGTGAGATCGGTGACACTAGTCAGTCGTCGTATGTGTAGGCATTGAGCAGGCAGGCACATCAGATCGGTGCACATCACGGTCACTGGTCCATTGAGTGTGGGATGTGGTGGACAATGTGATTGTGCACACTGAGATGGACTGTCTGTGTGAGGGTGTGTTGGTGTGTGCGTTGTTGCGTGTTTGTGAATCAGTGTGACGTGTGGTGTCCGGCATCAGTCGAGAAAAGCATCGAACAAGATGCATGCAAGTGACGAGGTGTTGTCGAATGCATGGAACGTGTGCTCGCTCACCGAATCGTGTGCATGCAGAGATTGACAGTCAGTGTAGGTGGGTGACTCGGTGCAGACGTCACTGGGATTCGGACGGAGGTTGTGCACAGCAAATCTGTGTGCCGACTGAATAGCGCATTGTGACTGCAGACAAGTTGGATGCGCTCACTGATTGACCAGTTGTGTGAATGTGTCATGTGAGATGATGCTGTGAATCTGTGTGATGTGTGAGAATGAACACGCCACAAACTGGCATTGTATGTGCACAGTACACACTGGAGCCTAATGCACTCTATGATCTGTTTGACTTTCAGGTGTCAAGTGAACAACCAACTGCGGTCAATGAACGCCACACCGGAGACGCTGTGACCAGAGATACTACACGAGGTGCTGACTCCATCAGTCCCATGGGTGGTGGTGGTGTGGATGCGGACGAGGAGAATCTTCTCGACACACAGGTAATGCTGTTTCACACACTTGTTGTTGCCTTGATTGACGTGTTGTGCCATGTTGGTGAGATCGGTGACACTAGTCAGTCGTCGTATGTGTAGGCATTGAGCAGGCAGGCACATCAGATCGGTGCACATCACGGTCACTGGTCCATTGAGTGTGGGATGTGGTGGACAATGTGATTGTGCACACTGAGATGGACTGTCTGTGTGAGGGTGTGTTGGTGTGTGCGTTGTTGCGTGTTTGTGAATCAGTGTGACGTGTGGTGTCCGGCATCAGTCGAGAAAAGCATCGAACAAGATGCATGCAAGTGACGAGGTGTTGTCGAATGCATGGAACGTGTGCTCACTCACCGAATCGTGTGCATGGAGAGATTGACAGTCAGTGTAGGTGGGTGAGTCGGTGCAGACGTCACTGGGATTCGGACGGAGGTTGTGCACAGTAAATCTGTGTGCCGACTGAATAGCGCATTGTGACTGCAGACAAGTTGGATGCGCTCACTGATTGACCAGTTGTGTGAATGTGTCATGTGAGATGATGCTGTGAATCTGTGTGATGTGTGAGAATGAACACGCCACAAACTGGCATTGTATGTGCACAGTACACACTGGAGCCTAATGCACTCTATGATCTGTTTGACTTTCAGGTGTCAAGTGAACAACCAACTGCGGTCAATGAACGCCACACCGGAGACGCTGTGACCAGAGATACTACACGAGGTGCTGACTCCATCAGTCCCATGGGTGGTGGTGGTGTGGATGCGGACGAGGAGAATCTTCTCGACACACAGGTAATGCTGTTTCACACACTTGTTGTTGCCTTGATTGACGTGTTGTGCCATGTTGGTGAGATCGGTGACACTAGTCAGTCGTCGTATGTGTAGGCATTGAGCAGGCAGGCACATCAGATCGGTGCACATCACGGTCACTGGTCCATTGAGTGTGGGATGTGGTGGACAATGTGATTGTGTGCACACTGAGATGGACTGTCTGTGTGAGGGTGTGTTG